GGTTCATGGTACAGTGCTGAGTCTACAGTGCCACATCAGGAGTCCTGTCAAGAGGAGGCAGTAGTATTTTTGTCTTTGTGTCTGTTTCCTCTGGGCATAACAAAATACCACAAACTGAGTAGCTTAAACAACACAAAATTTCCCTCACAGCTCTGGAGGCTAGAAGTCAAGGTGAAGCCATAGAACAGAAGCCATGCTGCCTCTGAAGGCTCTAGGGGAGGAAGGACCCTTGCTCTAGGGAAGGAAGGAAGGACCCAGCTCCTGAAGCTTGCTGGCAATCTTTGGCGTTGCTTGGCATGTAGATGCAACCTCTGACTGTCATCACATAGCATTCTTCCTTTGTGAAGCATGCTTAACCTTGGAACAACAGGGCTCTGTGATACAGGGATCTAGGCATAGTTTGAAGAGGGGAAATAATACCAAGATGCTTGACTGTCTTATGAATATTGGCTTTCCTTGCCTACTATTGTAAAATAGACACTTGAGTGGGATAGAAAGGAATGTCAGAAAACATGATTACAGAAAACTTGTAAGCCCATCTTCAGCCTATAACTGATTGGAATACCTAAAAGGGGTTCTACAACTTGTGCAGTGAAACAGGCCTCTTGCGGAGCCTTTGCAGAGTATAGGACATTAGGTGGACTCCTGAGTCCCATCCAGAACCTTCTGAGGTGGGACACTCCCACTAGAAAGACAAGCAGACCAGCCTGGAACCACTAGAGTGACAGAAGATGCATCTTCAAAGAAAGAGCATCAGGAAAAAACCCAAAACAAAAATGACAGTATGACTGACTACTTCAAGAATAAGCAAGCTGTTCACCAGGAAGCCATCAAGGCAAACAATCAAGTTCCTTCAGGACAGACCTCCCTCTAAGACTGAAACTCAAAGGGAACACATGAGCAGGCATGTAAGCTTGTTAATGACCACACTGGGCTTCTGGTGAGTGGAAGACGGGGAAAGGCAGCAATGAAGAAATAGGCTGAGTTCAACCACGGTCCATCGACTCCCGTTGACCTGGAGATGAGAGAGAGAAAAGGGCTGGTTGGTCCAATGTGTGGTGAGACCTGGGGACACCTGAGCCCGTGGACAAGGACACAGCCACAGAGGGCCAGAGCTGAGAGTGAAAGATCCAGCTAATATGAAGTGAGGGGAGACGCACAAGAACACCCAAATGTGCAGAGAGTACTCATTTGACCTGGCTTGATAATCAGAACTCATCTAGAGGAAGATATAAAAAATAAAAATAAAAAATGTTGTTGTTGTTAAAGGAAACAAGGGTAAATTGCTACAATTTGATGAACCTGACCTATAATCATGGCAGTAGTAACTCTAAATACCAACAGAGAGGGAAGGAGTCTTCACATCAAGTATCAATGCTATCCCCTCTGTACACAGGGTAGATAGGGACGGGCAACTTAGACATTGGCTACCTAAAATGAGGGGGCGATAAAGGCATGAAGTGACTAGCTTACAAGGTTTCAAGAGGGAGTTTAAGAGTGTGTGGGGGAAGAAAGAGTCCCCACTGAATAGTTGTCATCTTGTCTAGATGGTTCTGGTAAAAGAGATGGGGATAAAATTCTTATGATTCAATAGTGAGTAATTATTATGACTGATGGCAACTGTCACAATTGTAAAGGTAGAAGTTTTGTAACAAAAATGAGTGAGCAGTTTAATCTTACAGTCCAGAAACAAAGGATCCTAGGACCATCAAGAGAGTAGAGGACAAGCAGAATGAAAAACCTTATCCAGAGAAGCAGCGACACCAGAAATGGAGGCAGAGATGGGGACATGGAAAGAGGGAACAGCTGAGGACTCTAGATTCATGAGAAGAGAGGCACTAAGAGATGGTGGCCATGAGACAAACTTGCAGAATGTACCCTTTGGTGGTATAAATTATTATATATACCCGAAGGGTTTTTTAGTTTTTTTTTTAAAGAGCTAAAAGGAGTAGAGAGAAATACTGTTAATTGAGGGTACATGGAGGGGAATGTAATCTTTGTGATGATTTGTTGAATGTAAAACTGATAATCTGCCCTGTAAACTTTCACTCAATCCACAATAAAAACTTAAAGATAAATAAATAACACCACATTCACAGGTACTGGGTATTAAGACTGTAGCATATATTTTGGGGGAACACAATCTACAACTTGGCATATGTGTTTGTTGTGAAAATAAAATGAAATATTGGGATGAACAAACTAGTTGTTTGTATACTACTAATTACCCAGATCCTTAATTTATTTAAAATGCATTTTGGGATGGAGCAGGGGACTATCCTGGAAAGGCTGGAAGTCGGAGACCCAGAATCAAGTCACGATTTGTCTGCAAAGAGCTGAGAAGCCGTGGGCGGGTCACTTTGCTTGTTGGGCACTTATGTGCAAACACATGATCATCAAAGTCTGAGGGTGCTTCCAAAAGTTCACGGAGAAACTCTATTGTAATTCCATGCTTCCAGGAACTTTCTGAAGCCCCCTTCTGCCTCTGATTCTATGAAACCCTGGGACTGTGTTGGGAAACAAGGAGGAAACTTTGTAAGCCTAGAGACAGGAGGCCAATGTGTTGTCCGGCCTTACCATAGAGGCTCCCCAGCGGTGCAGTGTTTAAAGCTCTGGGCTGCTCCGTGAAAGGCCCACAGTCCAACCGTTAGCCATTCCACAGGAGTAAAAGGTAGCAGTCTGATCCCATAAAGACTTTACAGTCTTGGGAACCGTATGGGGCAGGCCTAGTTTGTCCTACAGGGTTGCTATGAGTCGAGATTGACTGCATGGTTGCAGATTCGGTTTGGTTTGTGTTCCCTTTCCATGAGTGCCAGCTGGTATACTCTGAGAGCACCCAAATTTAACTCTTGTCTGAGGTCAGTACTGCTTACAATCTGGAGACAGGTAAGCAAAGCAAAGAGGAGGCCCTGAGGTTCTATCTGAATGACAGGTAGTCTCCCTGTTTACTAACCCCTGTTGTCAATTCTGACTCATAGTGAACCTGTATAGGGTTTGAACTGTCAATTGTATGGTTAGTAGTCCACTGCTTATCCTACAGCACCATACCAGAACTAACTCCCATTTGCCCTTTGTTGTTGTGAGTGCCATCAAGTAGATTCTAACTCATAGAAAACCTGTATAGGGTTTCCGAGAAACAGCTGGTGGGTTTAAATCATTGACCTTGCGGTTCACACCAGTCTTATAGTCCAGTGCTTATCCTACAGCTCTGCACCAGGACTCTTTCATGTCATGCACATTTGCCCTCACTTTGAAATGATTGAACCAACTCCTAGTCACAACAAATTCGTCATCACAGTCACCTTTACTTGCTGTACCAGGTACTTTTAAATCACTGAAAAGACTTTTCTTGCACATAAGTAAGGCTAAAACAGAACCACAGGCACCTCTGCCGAGTGACCTGCAGACTTCACTTAAAGGCACACCTGGGAGTGGGTCTCATTGGTAACCTCATTGGTAACTTCTATTGGCATGTCTCCTCTCTGGCAGGCTGCAAAGGTGGTTGGTTGGTTGGTTTTCTGGTGGGTATGATTGATGTTATGATTTGGGGTTGGGAAAGACATCGCCCTCGAGAATCTCTAAAGTCCCCTTGCATTCCATTCCCTCTTTTTCTTAATAATTTAAACCTGGAGACTTACCCATCCCTGAGATTGGAATATTAATTCGCCAAATTTGCTAGCTTTCTTTTACGTGTCAGGATTCACTTGTTTTCCCAGTTCGTCTTGTGCAACTTTGCCTCCATCTCCTCATTTCTCACGTTATTCCCCTCTTCCTCATCCAGAAAGCTTATTTGAACTTGGTGGGACAAGTCTTAGATACTTAATTACCTCTTATAAGAGGGATTCCCTGGAGATTATTCTTGTTGCTTACTTTATACACTTTTGCATACCGAATTTTATATATGATGTATATGTTAGAATTCAGAAGGTTTTGGATTTTTTTTTTTTAACATTATAAAGGCATGTCTTTCTAATAACTGCTAAATGGTAAAGGCATTTATCTTTTTAAAGTGTATAAATGTTCCATTGTATGAATCTTTTATATTTTAAGACTTTTTTCCTCTGGAACCTTAAAAATAAAATTTCAAATGGAAAGGCCCATTGTATGCAGTAGCTAGCTCATAAGTTTTGTACTTGTAAATTTACTCACAAATTTTTTTATAAGCACACTCAAATACGTAAGTCTGCTTTTCCTCACTGATAAATAGTATTTTAGGTCCTGGAATAGCATGTTTGATTTTTCTGGATTGCAGGACATAGCGGGTCTTAGAACCACCTTTTTTATCAGCTCTTGGCATCTGGTACCATAGACAAACATGTAATTTACAGACATGAGGCTGACTTCATGTCAGGGCTTCCATGTAGCCGGGACAGTGCTTCATTCTGAGAGATATTCAGTCAGTCCTCAACAGTGTAGTACAGGGACAGTTGCTTGGTGTTAACTGCTGTTGAGTTGGTTCCAACCCATAGCGACTCTACAGAATTTCTGAAGAGCAGCTGGTGGGTTTGAACCATCGACTTTGTGGTTCACAGTTCAGTGCTTATCCTACAATACCACACCAGGAGGTATTTGGAATCTACACAAGCAAAGTTTCACTGACTCTTAGGAACCTTGGAATCTCTCTGTGGGGATAGGATTTGCCCTTCAAGTTTTGACTTAGTATTGGCTGCAATAGGCATTGTTCCAGCCACAAGCCAAGAGACTTGGGAGCTAGCTGTGGCTTTGCCATTGACCACCTGTGTGACCACCAATGTGACTTTGGCCAAGTCATTTCTTCACATGTAGAACGAGAGACCAAATGGTTCTATCTGGCCAGAGGTATGCTGAGGAGGAACTTGGCAGCATGAGGTTCTGTGACTCCAAGTTATCTCCTGGGCTGGACTTTAATCCCATAAACCTTTTTCCTCACAGGACACCTGCTTGTGGCTCCTCAAGACTTCAGATCGTTCTTTGAAGGGATGACAGTGTCTCCCACTAACTCTGTGCTGTCTACTTTTCAGATACCCAGGGCAGACGAGACCCAAGACCCATGTGGCCCTGAGGAGCCCAAGGGGAACTTGGAAAGTCCCAAACAGGGCAGCAGTAAAATGAAACTCAAGAGTCGTCTTTCAGGTGAGTGGGAGCCCTGCCTGATTCAGCTTGCCTGAAAATGAGCTTTGCATCTCAGCAGTGCACCGATAAAGCCAGTGAGGGGTTAGCACTTTGTTTCCACAAAACTGAACTGTTTTCTGTTTAGGTAATGCAGGCCCCAGGCATAATGACAGAGTTCAGTTTGACTGCCCACATGCATATGTTTATCTGAGGCATAACAAAATGAATGTGAACATCTCTGTGTGTCTCCTGTGAAACATAATTTTTCTGAATGTTTGATTCATTTCAATAATAGTCCAGGTGACCTCTTGCACTCTGGAATATTCCTGATGGCCAGCAAACATACCTTGGATTTACGTCAGTTCCCAGTGACAGAGAGCCATTTATCTAATGTCAGGTCTGCGTCTCATCTAAGCAAGGGATAACATGGAGTTGCAGATGTTGGGGCAAATGGGTTCTGTATCTCCTGGGCACAGCCTTAGAGGAGCTGACCTTTGCCCTGAGAGAAAAAGTCAGTGTTGAGAGAGGCTGTATAAGGAAGCTTCAAAACATTCATGGAAAAATGAAATTGAAAATAATGGGATTTTTCCACAAACTTTTGAAGCGCCCCACCTCCTGTATGCAGAGTTCCATTATGACTTTCAGGGGCTGTAGGTTAAGCACTGGACTGTTTACTGCAATGTTGGGAGTTCAAACCCACCAGCCACTCTCTGAAACCTCATACTGGGTCAGAACCAACTCAATGGCACACAACAGCAAGACACTTTTTGCCTTCAATGGAAAAAATATATATATAGAGAGAGAGGCTTTAGAAAGTTTGTGGAAGAAATCCGTTATCATTTTATTCCACTTTTCCACAAGCTTTATTAATATCCATCATATGAAAAACTATTCCAACTATGTTGGTCTATTCGGATTAAGATTCACTATTTTATTTATTGTTATATTCTTTTTTTCCTTCTGATGGAAAAGAATATAAAATGTTTTTGTGGGTCCCTAAAAGTATTGTTGTGAGCCCTTGGTCCCACATCTGTTGTGGCTAGCAGAGAAGCCTGCCTGGTTGTCTGCACCTGGAGACAATTGGTACAGCAGGAAACACGAGACTAGCCTCACTGGTTTTGCACCACAGCTCTGAGTTACTGTGTGGCCTTGGGCTGGTTATTTAACCTCTCTGAACTTCCAGTTCCTCATCTGGCATGGGGTGAGGGGGCATAATAATCTTCACTCAGTAAGGCTGAACCCATTTGCTTTAAGCACACTTAAATGTACCACCAGAATGCTCCTCAGAAGAGAAGGGTGGAAGACTTCATCTCTCATACTTTTGACATATTATCTAGGAGGGACCAGTCTCTGGAGAAGGACATTATGCTTGGTAAAGTGGAGGATCCGCTAAAAAGAGGAAGACCCCCAAGGAGATGAATTGAGCCAGTGGCAGCAGTATGGGCTTAAATAGAGCACTGATTGTGAGGTGGCCCCGGACTTGCTAGTGTCTCGTTCTGTTGGACATTAGCTTCGCTATGAGTCAGAACTCACTCCATGGGAACCTAATGACAGCAACAACAATGAATGTGCCCAGCACATATAAAACAAAAAACACAGCTGCTGTCAAGTCGTGGCAACTCATGGAGACCCCCATTTTGGGTTAGTGCACTAAACTGCTTAACTGAAAAGTTGGCAGTACAAGTCTCCCCACAAGTGCCTCAGAATTGAAACACCTGACAATCTACATCAGAAAAATCAGCCACCGAAAACCCGATGGGCTCAGATTGACTCTGACACACAGGGGTTCTCCATAAGTGTCTGTCAACTCAATGGCAACGACTTGGCCAAGGTGGCAGGTATAGGACAAATAAAACAAAACACATCATCTTTAAACCCAGAGTAATGAAATCAATCTTGTCTTTGTAAGCTGGGATAAATAGGCAGTGTGTACCTGAGCTAAAGTGTTAGCATGTGGACTTGTGACAGAAAGGAAAGATGGAGACCAGAGGCTGCGGAGAAGTCTGAGGGGGAGATGTCGTACCGAGGGAGGGCCTTATGTGGAAAGAATGACCAGGGAAAGGAATGTAAATCCTGGCTGTGTTGGTGGGGAGCCACTGGCACCGAAAGGAGAGACCTTTGAATCCGGTGTCATTGCAGGCTTCATGTCATGGGTGAGAACTGAGAAGTGGAGGGAATCCCAAAGGTCATTCACTCACTTCCAGGACAGCCTCTGACTGTCAGACAAAGTGTTTTCTATCTTCCCCTCTGCCGTCTGGGCATCTGGAAAAGAATTCTGTCTGTCTCCCCATGGATAGAGATCCGTGATTCTCCTGTTCTGTTCACACTGGAAATTTAAAATGAACAGCACATTCGCTGACCAGTAAACCCAGGGTTAGCATCTATTTACCAGAAACAGGGCAACTTCTCTTCCTGTGTCCTTCTCAGATGCTCAGGGCAATAGAAAGGAAGTGTAGACTAGGGGAAGAAACACATGCATAAAATCAGGTAGAACTGTGTTCAATCCCCAGCTCTGCCACTATTGGCTGTGTGACTTCTGACAAGTTACTTAGCCTCTCTGGATCTCAGTACCTTCATCTGTAAAATGAGGGTTATACTCTACATGTATTCTGGGAATAGACACAAGTGGCTATTAAGTGCCAGTCCTTGTGGAAAGGATCAAGTTAGAGACTACAGCTGCTCCTTCCACTCCAGAGTGTCATTCATACACCATGGGTCCTCGCTACATGATAGTGTCTGTGCTAGAATCACTCTTGTCATCAGCACCGTCATTCTCATTGGTATTGGCCTCACCTCTTTTCCTCTCAAGAGGGGAAGATGCCTGAATGGACCCAGATAGGAAGGCTGTCTCCTCAAGAATGTGGGGCTCCGGAAAGGATGTTACACACATGCACTTCGAATGATGACAGGCAGTAAAACACACAGGAGTTACAGAACCCGGAAGTCCCTCTGGGTTGTGGCACTCAGAGATATAAGACTAAAGGAACTTGGCAGGATTTTGCAGAATGTGGGGTTGAGAGGGGGAATAGTGGTCTATACTTGGAACAAAATGGATAAGCAGTATTTAAGGCCAATGGGTTAAAAAATAATAATTGGCAAGTGATTAGCTTGGCAACTTTTCTTTCCTCCTCAGCCATCTGTTGCTGTTAAGTACTATCGAGTCAGTTCCGGCTCATAGTGACCCTGTACAGGGTTTCCAAGGAGCGGCTGGTGAGTTTGAACCACCAGCCTTGCAGTTAACAGTCCAGTGTTTATCCTGCAGCACCACACCAGGACTCCTTCTCAGCCGCCGTGTTGTTGTTGTTAAGTGCTGTCGAGTGGATTCCAGCTCATAGAGACCCTGTACAGGGTTTCCAAGGAGCAGCTGATGGGTTTGAACCACCAACCTCAGCCATCTAGGAGAGCCAATCAATATAATGTGATAAATTAATCCCTCAGGGTTTCTCAGAGAGAATCAAGGAAAGGAGTGAGAAATGATAAGTCAGGCAAGTTGGATAAAGCCTCCGGTGATTCTTTTATGCTCCCCACTTTTGGAACAGAGGAAAGAGGTAGACAAAACCCCTCCAAGAGTCATCAGGATATAGCAAAGGATTCATGCAGCAAGGCAGTGAGAGATAAAACTGAGGAAGTTATTTGGAACAGGCTAAAGAAACGTAAAGAATTGGGTCTTCATTAAGTGCTTGGAATAGACTGAGCCTAAAGACATTTGAACTTAGACTTTAATGGGATTGTCTCCAAATTTGTCCTGTATGTTTGGGCATTTATTTCATATTTTCATAAAGCATGTCACTCTGGTATTCACATAGCAGTGTATTATCGGAGGAAACAACTGTATGTGGTTTCTCATCTGTTCATGGTAAGTGTCCCTTGTCAGCTCAAATGGAATTTTCTTCTAATAAATCTTTTTCAAATGAGTAGACATGCCAAGAGAGATTAATCTGGTCATGGATTTTTGAAATCATGAATGATTAAGCAGGTTCCGCAAAGAGATTTCCACCATTTCCACAAAGGCCTTGCCCAGTCTGGCTCTAAAACGAACAGATCTGTCATCTCGTGGAATATTTTTCTGATACTCTAACTTGGAATTTTCCTTACTTCATACCTCCCTTTGTACTGACAGGGAACCCTTGTGATTCTGATATTTTTCTTTATTCATGTTAAAGCTTAGTGTCATGAGCTTGTTATATATAAATTTTCTTTTTGCTGCCAAGGAATTCCACATGTTTGAGACTCTGTATCACAGAGTTCAAAATTCAGAGGTTTGAGAATCTATATACAAGGTTAACTTTTTATAACAAAGTTAATAATTTTTGAAAAACCAAGTCTTTAGTAATGTCCATTAACTGTATCAGCACTATTTTATCAATATTTAAAATTCATCAATCTATTGTTTTTAAGAGAATCCAGAATTATCTTTTTATTCCATGAAATCTTTGTTTTATTCCATGAAAAGTTATCTGAAAAAGAGTAGGTAAATTGAAATTTTAGATCATCAAATGGAACATTATATCATCTTGGAAAATTTGGTATTCAAATTACACACATATGAGCGAGCTTCCGAAAGCTCATGGAAAAATCCCATTCTTTAATTCCATTTTCCACAAACTTTTTGAAACCCACTTGTATGTGTATATGTATGTAATATATATAGAAGACATACATTCAAATGCATACACATCTATATTCCGTATAATGTAAACTGTGTAATATGATTATAAATATATTTATAGGTAGTTGAATTATCTCTGAAGATTAAAGTGTTTTAAATTATCTTACTTTAAATTACATATAATATAAATTGGTGGTGATGGTGGTAGTTGTGTGCCGTTGAGTTACTTCCTACTCATGGCGAGTCTTTTTAGGGTTTCCGAGGCTGTCAATCTTTACAGGAGCAGAAAGCCTCATCTTTTTCCCACAGAGCACCTGGTGGACTTGAACTGCTGACCTTTTGGTTTGCAACCTGGCTTGTATTCCAGTACATTACCAGGGCTCCTTAATATAAATTGATTGTTGTCAGGTGCCGTTGAGTTGGTGCTGACTCATAGCGACCCTGTGCACAGCAGAACAAAACACTGCCCGATCCTGGGCCAACCTCACAATTGTTGCCACACTTGAGCACACTGATGTTGCCACTTTGCCAATCCATCTCTCTGAGGGTCTTCTTTTTCTCTGACCCTCCACCTTACCAAACATGATATCTTTCTCCAGCGACTGGTCCCTCCTGACAATATGTCCGAAGTATGAGAGACGATGTTTGGCCATCATGGCCTCCAAGGAGCATTCTGGCTGCACTTCTTCCAAAACAGATCTGTTGGTTGTATATATTGTACTACATTAAAATTATTTATTTTAAATTGAGAGTGAAATAGACATTCCCAGATTTTTTTAATTAATCAACTTTTGTTAATCAAAAACTATTATTAAAAGAATGAAAGATGTAAGTCACAGAGTTAGAGAACATATTTGTAAAATATGGATACTACAAAGGATTCATATCCAAGATATAGTAAACATAAAAAATGAAAACTCTGATAAAACAACAAAATGCCAGAAACCAAATAAAAGAATGTGTAAAAGGTTTGAGCAGACACATTGCAAAAGAGGATAGCTAACTGCCAAGGAATATCTGAAATGGAGTTGAATCTCATTAGTCCTCAGGGAAATGCACATTAAAACCACAGTGAAATTGAATTACATACCTACCAGACTAACTAAAATTTTAAAAGACTGACATTAGCAAGTGTGATGAAAATATGGGGAAGTTGGAAATTGTTCATGCTGCTGGTGACCATGATACATTCCCACTCCTGGGGGTACAGCTATAGGAGCATGGATATATACCTGTGATATTTCCTACTCCTACGGGTACAGCTATGTTATTGTTGTTGTTGTTAGGTGCCATCAAGTTGGTACCGATTCACAGTGACCCTGTGCACAGCAGAACAAAACACTGCCTGATCCTGGGCCAACCTCACTACTGCTGCCACACTTGAGTCCATCAATGCTGCCACTTGGCCAATCTATCTCATTGAGGTCTTCCTCTTTTTCTCTGACCCTCCACCTTACCAATCATGATATCCCTCTCCAGTGACTGGTCCCTCCTGACAATATGTCCAAAGTATGAAAGACAAAGTTTGGCCATCTTGGCCTCCAAAGAGCATTCTGTCTGCACTTCTTCCAAAACAGATCTATTGGTTCTTTTGGTAGCCCATGGAACTTTCAATATTCTCCCCTCCAACACCATAACTCAAAAGCATCAATTCTGTGGTCTTCCTTATTCACTGTCCAGCTTTCACATGCATATGACGTTATTGAAAATACCATGGCTTGGGTCAGACACACCTTAGTCCTCAAGCTGACATCTTTGCTCTTCAACACTTTAAAAAGGTCTTGTGCAGCAGATTTGTCTAATGCAATACATAGTTTGATTTCTTGACTGCTGCTTCGTTGAGTATTGATAGTTGATCCAAGAAGAATGAAGTCCTTGACAACTTCAATCTTTTCTCCATTGATAAGAATGTCATTTATTGGTCCAGTGGTGAGGATTTTTGTTTTCTTAATATTGAGATGTAATCCATACTGAAGGCTGTGCTCTTTGGTCTTCATCAGTAAATGTTTTAAGTCCTCTTCACTTTCATCAAGCAAGTTTGTATCATCTGCATATCACAGGTTGTTAATGAGTCTTCCTCCAATCCTGATGCCACGTTTTTCTTTACAGAATCCAGATTCTCAGATTATCTGCTCAGCGTACAGGTTGAATAAGTATGGTTAAAGAATACAACCCTGTCACACACCTTTCTTAATTTTAAACCATTCAGTATTTCCATGTTCTGTTCTAACACCTGCCTCTTAGTCCAGGTACAGATTCCTCATGAGCACAATTAAGTGTTCCGGAATACTCATACTTCACAATGTTGTCTATAGGTTGTCATGATCCCCACAATTGAGAGCCTTTGCGTAGTCAATAAAGCACAGGTAAACATATTTCTGATATTCTCTGAAAGCAGAGAATATCAGAAAAATGTTTCAGATATATGCCCGTGATATTTCCCAGTGCTCGCTATACGTCCAACAGAAATGACATGTATAAGGAAAAGTGCCAGAATGATTTGTAGCAGTATATTCTAGATCAGGGGTCAGTAAACTATGGCACATAACTGGTTTTGGATGGCCATAAGCTAAGAATGGTTTCTATGTTTTTAATGGAAACAAGCCAAATGTTCATCAGTAATAGATTGGACATCTGAACTGTAGTATGTTTATACAATGAAATATATAAAAATAGGAAGAACAAACTATTGCTGAATCCAGCAACATGGTTGAATTTCACAGACATAAATGCTAAGACACAAAAAGGTACGTATTGCAGAAGTTCATATATACGAAGTTTGAGAACAGCCAAACTTAGTGTATGATGTTATAAGTCAGGATACTGGTTACCCTTGGATAAGGGGTGATTGTTGTTGTTAAGTGCTGTGGAGTCAGTTTGGGCTTTTAGTGACCTTGTATAGAGTTTCCAAGGAGCGGCCGGTGGGTTTGAACCACCAACCCTGTATCGCAGTCCGACCTTGCAGTCCAACGCATTATTAACCCACTGTGCCACATCAGAATTAGTGATTGGTGACACAGAAGTGACTTGGTTCTCTAATCGTCTGCTTTGTGATCTGGGTGTTATCAATGCATTCATTCTGTGAAATTTTATTGAACTGCATGCATTTACTGCATATATGATTTGTGTACATTTCTGTATGTTATACTTGTTAACATACATTGTATGTTAAATACAATAAAAATTGTATTTAAAAAGTCACCGCAGTGAAACAAAATATGATGAGTATAAACCCAATGTTCTCCCATGTAAACTATCACTCAGACACTATAGAAACTTTTTTTAAAAGTCATTACTAAGGTAGAATCCCCAGTGAACAGTTTTCCTCTTGTCTAGATGGGTCTAGTGAAAGGAGATGGGGATAGGATTCTTTTGATTCAGTAGTGAATGATTTTTATCATGACTAATTGCAATTGTCACAACTGTAAAGGTAGAAGATATGTAACAAAAAGAGGGGAGTAGTTCATATTTCATTCCAGAAACAGGACCCTAAGACCATCAAGAGGGAGGTCTTCCTTTTGGCTGGAGCCGCCATCTTGCAGTAATCCACCAAGATGACGAACAGAAAGGGAAAGAGGCAAGGCACCCGCTATGTGGTCTCCAGGCCTTTCAGAAAACATGGGGTCGTTCCTTTGGTCATATACATGCAAATCGATACTGTGGACATCAAGGGAGTGGGCACAGTTCAAAAAGGCATGCCCCACAAATGTTACCACAGCAAAACTGGAAGAGGCTACAATGTGACCCAGCATGCTGTCAGCATTGTTGTAAACAAGCAAGTCAAGGGCAAGATTCTCACCAAGAGACTTAATGTGCACACTGAGTATGTTTAACACTCTCAGAGCCGAGATAGCTTCCTGAAGGAGTGAAGGAAAATGATCAGAAAATGAAGGAAACCAAAGAGAAAGGGACCTGAGTTCAACTAAAGCACCAGATGCTCCACCCAGAGAGGTGCACTGTGGGAGAACCAAGGGGAAGGAGCCTGAGCTGCTAGAACCTATTCCCTAGGAACTCACAGCATAACAGGAGTGAAATAAAGATGTCTGAGGTGTACAAATGTCAGGTCTTTGGTTGTAATTGTGTGGAGTGTGGTGCCCTCCCCCCACATATGTAGTATTTGAAGCACATTTTATTCCCCAATTCGCTTGATAATAAATGCTTTCATTATTGAGGGGGAAAAAAAAAAAAAGTGGGAAGAGCATGAGAGGAACGTGGAACGTGGGACCCTAACCAGAAAAACAGCGACAGCAAAGGCAGAGATAGAAGCAGAGGTGGCGACACAGAGAGATCTAGCAGCTGAGGACTCTAGTCCCATAGACTGAGAAAGACTACGTGTCTGATGACAGGAGGCTGGCTTGCAAAGTGTGCCCTTTGGTCATTTCAGTGAATATATATTTTCTGTGTTTTTTTGTATATATATATATAAAAAAAAAGTCATTACTATATTAAAGTCATTCCTATATATAAAAAGCATCTTTTACAACCCCACCAACCCAACCGCTCCTCGGAAACCCTACACAGGGTCACTATGCGTCGGAACTGACTGGACAGCATTTAATTGCAGTAGCAGAACCATAAAGCATTAATTCTCCATCACTAAAAAACCATCTACCTACAGCATTCTCGCTAATGCTTATTGCACGGGCAAACTTTTTTGTTGTTACATGTTGTTGCTGCAGCTTATTTGGATTAGGTGTATTGGTTTTCCCTTACCTGGTCACGTCAGTAAACGTCAGTTTCTTCATACCCTGACATTCATGGTCTCAGCCCACAATTTGGTGAGCTTGGAACCTTCTGAAAACATTGAATGTGGATGTAAATGCAACAGCTTTATGCCTGTGTATGCATTTATGGTTCTTTCTGTCCCTTAGAAAGCCATGTTTGTGTGCTTCCTTCTATTTTCAAGGGGGTGTGCACCGTCTAGAATCTGTTGAAGAATATAACGAGCTGATGGTAAGAAATGGAGATCCCAGGGTTAGGATTTTGGAGGTCTCCCGAGATGGCCGGAAGCATTCTCTTCCCCAGCTGCTGGACTCTTCTGGAACCTCACAGGTGGGTCAGGTACCACAGAGCCTTGGACACAGACAACAGTGCTTGGAAGGGAGAGAAAAGCCCTTATGTCACTATGTTTTTTCTTTTTTTCCTTCAAACACCAGCAAGAGCTTCCTTGTTCTGAAGAACAGCCATTGGTGTGGGCTGGGAGTATTGTGGGGTTTATATGCTTTGAGAAGTATAGTACAGAAAGAGAGGTCTATCCAGAGAGGCTAGAAAGAAGTCAGTCCAATATTCGAAAATAGTGTTGTTGTTGTTCTTGCTGTTGTAAGTGCACTAAGTCAGATCCAACTCACAGCAACCCTGGATAATGTTCCCAAGAAGCAGCTGGTGGGTTTGAACCACCAACTCTGTGATTAGCAGTCCAGTGCTTATCCTACAGTAGTGATTGGTGATTATGTGCCATGGAGTTGGTTCCAATTCGTAGCAACCCTGTATAGTGTTTGTTGTTGTTATGTGCCGTGGAGTCGGTTCTGACTCATAGCGACCCTGTACAGGGTTTTCCGAGGCTGTAATCTTTACGGGAGCAGAAAGCCTCATCTTTCTCCCGCGGAACAGCTGGTAGTTTCGAACTGCTGATCTTAAGGTTCTCAGCCCAATTCGTAACCACTACACTACCAGAGCTCTTTCTGTATAGTGTTTACCAGGCTGTAAATCTTTATGGGAGCAGAAAGCCTCATCTTTCTCCAACAGAACAGCTGGTAGTTTTGAACTGCTGACTATGAGATTAGGAGCCCGACTCATAAACACGACACTACCAAAGCTCCTCCAATAGCAGGGGGAAATCCCTTTTTGAATCCCAGCATCTTGACCCCCTTTTGACTGTGTGTTTTGGAACTAAACGCTGCGCTCAATTGGCAGGAGATAATGGCGTCTCAGAGTCTGTGGTTGGACCGCCACCGTTTGTTTAATGGGAGCATCATGTGTCAGTTTAATAACTGTGTGGGTGGATGCAGGAATGTGTGTGAGTGAGGAAAGTTGTGTGTGTGTGTGTGTGTGTGTGTGTGCGCGTGTGCCACACCTGGGGTCCTACTAGATACACCACGATAACTTGGACAGCCCATATCCACAGGGGTGGTAGTGTTGTTAAATGCTGTTGAGTCGGTTCCAACTCATAGCAACCCTGTATAGGGTTCATGAGGACCTGCTGGTGGGTTTGAACTGCTGCCCTTGTGGTTCACAGTCCAGTGCTGGTCCTACAGTGCCACACCAGAGACTGGTAAAGTAGCTGATGATGTTGATATTCCTGTCCCTCAGAGCTCAGGGTTCCATAACCTTGTATGGGGGATGCTTCTCAGTGATGTTTTCCTCAATCCAGTACAAACTGGGTGAACAGTTTGAAAGTAGCCTCAGTGTCTGGGAAACCTATGGAATGTTCTTCAAGTCCTGGTGTAGCACTATAGGATAAGCACTGTACTGCTAACCACAGGGTTGGCAGTTCAAACCCACAGTTGTTCCATGGAAATACTTTACAGCATCTCTATAAGATAGAACCAACTCCATGCCACTTAACAACAACAACCATCAGACAGAGGGCTGAAGAGGAGTCTTTAGCACTGTCTACCAAGAACTGGGATGAAGCAGGGGTGGGGGTGGGGTGGGGGGGAATGACAGCAACAACACCACAAGTACATGGAGACTTCTAGATTGTAGAGCTGTAAAGGACCAGGTGTTTATGACTGTTTTACAGAGAAGACAGCTCACTCTGAGAGAGGTTCAGTGTTTTACTGAAGATGATAAGCCGAAGCTACTGTAAAGAAAGGTTTTTGAACATAGTTTGTATGTGTCATGAGACATCTAGCAAGTGTGTCCACGGCTCAGAGGCAGAGTTTGCTGCTCAAGCGGTTTTGTGTTAAATCCACCAAAAGACAACTCCAGGGAAACCGGCGCTGAGAAAAAGCACAGCAAAAATCTTGCTCGGGACATGGTTAAAATGAGTGCAAACCTATGACTGGAGACAGACCTGTGGCCTCAGAATGACCCAGGTAGACCAGTAGGGTCAGGCGGAGATCAAAGAGTTGTTGGAGAGCCCCATTGCCAGGCAGAATTTGTTCATGTGAAAGCTGAGAGAGGGTTGTCCTGCCGTCAGTCACCACGTGGATGTCTCCTATTCTAATGGTGATTTCTAAGCTGTGCCAATGAGAAACCTGAGCCTGACCACCCATTTCTAACCTGCGTCCAGGAACCAGGAAACAGGGACTAGTGAAGAAAGCTTAAGAAAAATAGGATCTTTTCCTCTTTCCATCTCCCTGTTCTCTCCTGTCTTCTCTTATTTTCTACCCTTTTCTTCTTCTCACAGAACCCATCCCTTCCCTTCACTAACAAGTAGTACATAGAATTACCAGTTGTCAAGTCTACTCGGATTCCTGGTGAGCGCATGTGTATGAGAGTAGAACTGTGACTCCTGGCGTTTTCAGTGACTAATTTTGGGGAAGTAATCACCAGGACTCTCTTCCGAGGCACTCCTGGGTAGACTCAATCCTCCAGCCTTTTAGTTAGCAGCTAAGCACGTTCAGTATTTGCCCCACTCAGGAACTTCGTCGTCTTGAATATCCAGTAGAACTTTTTCTACAGTCATGGGAATGTCCTGAGCCCAGACTGTCCAGTAGGATAGCCACTAGTCCCATGTGTCTACTGAGATCTTGAAAAGAGGCTAGTGATACTGAGGACTACATTTCATACTTTTATTTCTATTTAAGTTTAAATAGTGGTTACCCTGCGAAATAGCACAGGGTAACTAGAAAGTGCAAGAAAATTCCTGAAACTCTTCAAGAGATAAATGAAACATGTTGGCCTTTATTTCTCGCGTTGGTGAAGATTGATGACCAAAGAAAGAATTCCCTGATATATCCAACATGATACTTACTCTGTGTTCTAGGATTGAGAATCCATAGGCTATATCTTGCCATCTCTTTGATGGTTTCGTCAAAGGGTTGTTGTTGTTGTTGTTGTGTGCCATCGAGTCGGTTCCGACCCATAGCGACCCTGTATAGTAGTAACCTTACTAAACCCACATTGCTGGCAGATATTTTATAAAAATACAAAACATGATTGTTCTAAACTGCCATGACTATGAAAATACCATTGGCAGACATCTCCTTTCGACCTTTGAACATAGAATATAGACATTAAGAATAAAATAATATTTTGTGATATTGCTTCGCTCATGTTAAATCTGAATTGATTTTGCTTGTCTTGCTTACACTGGGATACCGACATCATTTAAGAAAATTGTTATTGTAAGAACAATAGTAAGGAGCTAGCTGGTAGAAGAAGTGCTTTAGCAATAGATTCACTTAATCTCTTGTTTATGTTATAAATAACATATATGTTATATGCACACATGCAACGTTGGCAAGATATGCAATGTTGTTGCATGTGTACATATTGTAAAGGATGGAGATTTGATCTACCATGTACCAGGAATGGAGATTGTGGTTTATGGGAAATATTTTATTTTCCAAATGTGAAGGATTAGAACTGAAGCTGCTGCCATATCGCTGCAGGGTGTTCTATGGGGAATCGCAGTTGGCTGGGTTTGTGGTTTGGGCTTTCTGAGAAACAAGGGTTTGCTGAGTTTTTCAGTGAGTGATACAAGCTTAAAATGGTGAAACTTTCTAACCACAATTCTGATCTTGGGATTGGGATGAGGTGGCTTCCAAGGGAGAACTCAACCACAGGTGGTCATCATGTGTCTCTCAGATGTCTAGTTCCTCCATTCCAGAGAACAAAAGGGTAGATCTGTGGGATGCAGCCAAGGAGAGAGCAGGGCAAGGCTTTTGTGGTCTCCAGGCATTGGAGGAGGAAAGCATGGCCACCTATTGCAGTCGATCTCTGGCTCGACTTTATTATAGCATTTATAATAAACCAGAGGGAAATGACTATCTGGCACTAAAGAAAACAGAGTTTCATGCCAGAGAAGACAGCAGGGTAGACGATACTGTCTCTGACTTGCCGTGTGCTGCCTTTTAGGAATACCACATAATGAAGAAGTCGACCCGCTCCCTAAGCACCACTCAGGTGGAATCCCCCTGGAGACTCATCCGGCCATCAGTCATCTCCATCATTGGGTTGTACAAAGAAAAGGGCAAGGTGAGGTCTTGGTATGGGCTGTTGTATCCACAGGTGACTCTGAGTTTCTTTTTTTACATGAATGGTTACTTTTTATTGCTATTTTTGCATATAAGAGAGATGCAGAGGAATGGATTCATTATGTCATTTGCATGGATTTGAGGACATTCCCTGGAATTCTCTCTTGTAGCTTCTGACTGTTTGGCGGTCACGAACTCCATGTTCTTCTGATGTGAGAAGCCCCCAGTACAGACTGCTGTGGTCCTCACAGCACAGCCAGGGATGGAGCGAACGCTTCCAGCTTTGCCCTGCGAGTGCAAGAAACACAGGGCCTTCAGCTTCGGGGGAAACTCCCACTTATCTGTTTAAATGAATTGCATGGCATTGTCATGAACAGAATGCTACAAATAATCACTTTAAAAATCCGTTTTGAAAATATGCAAAATGAAAAAATAGAAATAAAAGAATGAAACAAATTTTAGCATAGTGTGAAATGTTACTCACAGGTGAATCCCTGTGGAGTCACCATTTGGGGAGGTCAGAAATGGTTGAATATCGGCAGTTTTATATGTTCAGAACTAAAACTTTGTCCCTTTAACATAATACATTGTTAGTCCAATGCATATAGATCCAAGGAGGGCAACGGTGAAGGATATGCCAGCTTGAATTAACAGCAGTTGACTAGGTTAACTCTGAGCATGGTGGGAAGTGATAATCTCAGTTAATACTGCAATGTCAAGCTGAACACCTATTTGCTTTGTGTGCAGGGCCTTGGATTCAGCATCGCTGGAGGTCGAGACTGCATTCGAGGACAGATGGGGATTTTTGTCAAGACTATTTTCCCAAATGGATCAGCTGCCGAGGATGGAAGACTTAAAGAAGGTAAGAGAATGCTTCTTGCTGGTCCCCAGTGACTGTGCACTTTGATTCTATGAGAATCTGCCTCCTTGCAAGACGTGGCATGTGTGGTTCAGCAGCTGAAGCCAGGGCCTTGGGAGTCCAGGAGATCTGGGCTGAATCCCACACTGACTTTGGACAACTGATACAATGTGAGCTTCAGTTTCCTTAGTTGTACACATGGAACCTTTATACCTACCTGGGTAAATTGTTGTGTCTGAATATTTTTATTAGGCTTCTCTAAGTGACTATATTGTCCTCTTGGTTTTTGATCCTATTCCCTGCATTGAAAATCCCTGAGTGTTTGTGATCCATTCTTGCCTCAGGTCTGGAATGGAAGCAAAGCATACCTATTCATTAATAGATATTTAATACTTGCTGTTGAAATCAACCAACATGTAGTTTTGCTCTTAAATGAACATCTCTTACATTCTCCTAGTTTGCCACTCACATATATGCTAAACAAACACTTTCAAATGCAAATCAAGCAATATTGATGTACCTAGTCATAACTGGTTCATTAAATATTTTAAATGTTTAAATTGTTGCTGTTTTTGTTAAGTGCCATCAAGTCAGTTCTGACTCATAGCGACCCTGTATATAGGGTTTCTGAGGCACGGCTGGTGAGTTTGAACCACTGACCTTATGATTGAGTGTTTAATCCTACCAGGACTCCAAATATTTAAATAGCCTTATGTTTTATGGTACATTTAGCATTTACAAAACATTTCCACATATTTAAGTGATGTCTCACATTAATCCCATTAGCCTATCTAGTAGGCATGTTGAACTAGGCCCTATCTTTAAACATGAGAAAACTGACAATAATGTCCACCCTTCGTAACTTGCCCCTTCCTTAGCAAATGGCAGAAGTCAAATTTAAACGCAAGTTTCCTGGTCCCAAGTTCTGTTCACCTTCCCACCTCCCTACTAGGAGCTCACTGAACTACAACAAGAACACAGAATCACAACTCTTTCTTACTTCATGAGCTTATGATACTTGGTAAAAATAACATTTGAATAGATCAAATCTCTTTTATGTATAAACACAGTTGCTAAGTGTTGTCAAGTCGATTCTGACTCATAGCGACCATGTATAGGGTTTTTGAGGAGCTGCTGATGGGTTTGAACCGTCAACCTTGTGGTTAATAGTCAGTCCAGTACTTACACAGTACCACACTGTTGTTGTTGTTAGGTGCCATTGAGTTGGTACCGACTCATAGTGACCTTATACACAGCAGAATGAAGCACTGCCCGTTCCTGGGCCAACCTCGTTGCCACGCTTGAGCCCATTGATGCTGCCACTTGGCCAATCCATCTCGTTGGGGGGTCTTCCTCTTTTTCTCTGACCCTCCACCTCACCAAACACGATACCCTTCTCCAGCGGTGACTACATAAGCGTAGTAGCTTCTTTGAATCAAGAGAGAATCTTTTGTAGTCATGGATAAAAATAAACCCTAGACCAGACAGACCTTTCTATGATGGTAACTCAGACTGCATTATTTCAGGGACACTCATAAATGGAACTGTATATTTGTATACTTACCATGGGACATTGGTAGAATTCAGTGGTAGAATTCTTGCCTCTCATCCGTCCATCTGGGAGATAATGGACCTCAGGCACCACCACCAACCCCCCATCAGTAGAGGTGTGAGTTTACTGTGATCCTAAACAGGTTTCCATGGAGATTTCAGACGATGGTGGGCTAGAAAGGAAGACCTGGTGGTCTACTTCCAAAACTCAGCTAACGAGACTCCTGTGGCTCACAACAGTCTTGTCCAATCCCAAAACTATAGATGCTGTTGTGTTAAACTGGAAAGAGTGAGCCCCAGTCCCCTCTTTCAGGCAGAGGGGATGGTAGAAACCTATATGCCAATGAGAAGAGTAGACCAGGCTTACAGCTTCCCTAGCAGAGTATCTCTTCTCCCTCCTAGAGGAAAGGTTAACTCCCAGGTGGTGTTTGCGTCTGCTTTCAGGACAGTGTAAAACCCTAGCAGAACATTTCTGTAACGGATGTGCCAAGTGTTTGTTCACTTGATTAAAATTCATCCTGCAGCACAATGGAGATGGGGCCGGGGGTGGGGCAAATCCATAGCGAGAAAAGGTTTCAAAGCACTTGATTCTCCTAAATACTGCTTTTTCATGTGTTAATTTCTAAAAAATGTAAGTCATTGGAATGGATTTTCAACCTGTTGAATGATTATGTCTAAATCTTATATAAACTTCTCATTATATAAAAAATGAGTAACCATTTTAATGTTTCACTCCTTCCCCCAGGTGGAAATAAATAAACCAAAAAACGCCCTTAGCTATTTGAGTACTTGATGATATCAGGTGATTCTTAAACAAAGACTTTTTTCGCTTATTTTACTAGTTCTGTAATTACATGAACAAGAAAGCCTATAACAAATGCAGAGGGCGCTGGAGCATTTTTGTAGCTCGTCTACACATTGTGTAGATGGATTCATCAAATTGCACAACACATCATGTTGTTACAGGGAATGGCTGCCTATCAGAGGGGGGAGTATGTGTTCTTTGGCCACTTGGCACTTTGTCATGTATATAGGAAGTTACTCTTGACTTCTGCACTTCTTTACAGACTTAACCAACTGTTCTTCTCTTTGAGGCTTCTTTGTAGTGTTTTTGATAAACTGTCTTGTGAAAAATAGGCCATGTCACAAGAGTAAAAATCAGAAATGAGTTCTGACAAACCAACATGATGCTCAAGATCCTTTGTATTCCCAGAAGACTCTATCAAGGGCTTGAAAAATGGCCTGAATATACCTCTTAAAGATGAAGATGAGTCTGGCATAGTTTGAAAGAGAGACAGGCAGAAAGTGATTACCAGAGAGAGCAACTTGAGACATTTCAACCAACCAATCCGTCGTTGAGTTGACTCCGACGCGTGGCATTTTAGAGTAGAACTATCCTCCATGGAGGTTTCCTTAGCTGAGTTTTCAGAACTAAATCACTTCACCAGACCTTTCTTCTTGGTGAATTCAAACTGGCAATATTTCAGCTAGCAGTGAAGTATGTTAACGTCGCTCCAAATCAAAACCAAACCTGTTGGCATTCTGTCAATTCCATCTCATGGCGACACTAAACAGAGTCGCGCCTGTAAGGTTCCAAGGCTGTAAATCTTTATGGAAGCCGACGGCCCCTACTTTTCCCCACAAAGTAGCTGGTGCGTTCTAACAAACTTTTGGTTAGCAGCCAAGTGCTGAACCACTGCACAACTAGTGCTCCATTCATACCACCCTGTGGCACTATAGGATAAGCACTGTACTGTTAGCCACAGGTTGGAAATTCAAACCCACAAGCCACTCCTTAGAAACCCTATACAGGGTTTCTGCGAGTGGGCACTAACTGGATAGCACTTAACAACAACCCAAAGACTACCAGTTTGAGACGCTGTGATTGTCATTTTCCATCGAGTTCCTTTATACAAGTAGTAACCCTGTAGGACAGAGTGGAATGATCTGTAGGTGTTCCTAGGCTGTACTCTAGGAGTCCTGCTGTGGGTAAACACTGGACTGGTAGCCACAAGGTCTGTGGTTCAAACCCACCAGCTGTTCCTTGGAAACCCTTTATGGGTCACTGTGAATCGATGGCACTTAGCAACAACAATAACCTTTACAGATGCTGATCACCAGGGTATTTCTCTTGTGAAGTGGCTGATGGGGGTAAATCACTGTCATTTTGGTTAGCAGACAAGCACTTAACCATTACCCTACCATCGTGCCTTCTTTGACACATTGCCCTACAATAATCTCTTACAAGGAAGCATATTATAACTTCCCAACTTCATGTCTGACAGCATCAATAAGACCAGGACTCTAGACTGTTTCTGGAGGTGGGGCTGCCATTCTTCATGCTAATCGGTCAACGAGTTTTTTGTCTTTGAAACCATTTTCCGTGCACCACACTGATTCTCCAGGCTCAGGTAGCATATGTTTCTGCAAATACAGGTGTGGCTTCTCAAGTATCATGGGTTTTCATGCTTCATTGCCTGGGTTTACGATTTTAAACAATAGATATGAAGAAAGCCTTGAGACTCAGTTTTTGTATTTCAACCTCCAAATATATAGAGTATTTGCTCAACTTCGGTAATGCATAAAGAGTCAGATCTAGATACTTCCCTTAGTTGTTTTCACTAAAGATTAAAAGGCAGAGCTGTTGCTAAAAAAAATATGCATGTAACCCATCCCAATTCTGTATCATTCCTGGGAGCAGAGCTCATGAAACTGGACAGCCACAGTAAAAGTTATTTTGTAGAGTAGTAACACAGGAACCATATGGCGACCCATTTGGTTCTGACCTAGCAGTCTTGTTGTTTATTAACTGCCATGCAGTCATTTCCGACCCATAGTGACCCTCTATAGGGCTTCCAAGGAGGGATTGGTGGGTTTGAACCACTGACCTTGTGGTTCAGCACATTACCCTGCAGCACCACACCAGGCTCCTAACCAAGCAGTTCAATTCCAGTAACTTCAAGCTTGATGCTAATGTAATTCTTGTCTCTGGTCACTAGGGGATGAAATCCTAGATGTAAATGGAATACCAATAAAGGGCTTGACGTTTCAAGAAGCTATTCAGACCTTTAAGGTAACAGCATTCTCATTGATCTACTTTAGCCTCTTTGTTTTGTTTTCTTTTCTTTAGTGTCTTCTGACTGGTTTGCCCAGGGTGGTTTTCACTCTTTAAAGGAAGGAAAGTCTGAATGTATCTACCTTACATTCTTCTTGCTTTCTCAGCAAATCCGGAGTGGACTGTTTGTCTTAACGGTACGCACAAAGTTGCTGAGCCCAAGCCTCACGCCGTGCTCGACGCCCACACATATGAGCAGATCCAGCTCCCCAAACTTCAACGCCAGCGGGGCAACCTTGGCAGCAAACTCTGATGAGAGCAGTTCTTCATCCCTGGGCAAGAAGACCCCAGGGCCCAAGGACAGGATTGTCATGGAAGTAACCCTCAACAAAGGTGACACGAGCTATTGCTCTCTCTCATTGCTTTCTCCCGAATAACAACGTGGAAACCATCTTAGCTTGATTCTGTTTCTTAAATGAGTTGTTCATTTGGAAAGGCCGTTATCAAAAATACAGGTGGTGGTGTTTCCTAAACAGACAGTGAAATCACAAGCAAAGATATGAGTCATTGTACAATAGTCAAAGGAAATTAGCATAAAGTTCTTTAAATTCTTACCTGAGACGAATCATTCTGCAGGCCAGAAACTTGTGGGGTTTATATATATATATATATTGTTGTTGTTATGTGCCGTGGAGTCAGTTCCGACTCTTAGCGACCCTGTACAGCGTTTCCAAGGCTGTAAATCTTTACAGGAGCAGAAAGCCTCATCAGCTGGTAGTTTCAAACTGCTGACCTTGTGGTTCGCAGCCCTATTCGTAACCACTAT